GCCTAAGAGACCTCTGGGACAGCATTGAACGCAACAACATTCGCGTTATAGGGGTCCCAGAAGGAGAAGAGAGAGAGAAAGGACCCGAGAAAATATTTGAAGAGATTATAGTCGAAAACTTCTCTAACATGGGAAAAGAAATAGCCACCCAAGTCCAGGAAGTGCAGAGAGTCCCAGGCAGGATAAACCCAAGGAGGAACACGCTGAGACACATAGTCTCAATCAAATTGACAAAAATTAAAGAGAAAGAAAAATTATTGAAAGCAACAAGGGAAAAATGACAAATAACATAAAAGGGAACTCCCATAAGGTTAACAGCTGATTTCTCAGCAGAAACTCTACAAGCCAGAAGGGAGTGGCCTGTTGTATTTAAAGTGATGGAAGGGAAGAACCTACAACCAAGATTACTCTACCCAGCAAGGATCTCATTCAGACTCGATGAAGAAATCAAAAGCTTTAGAACTTCTCTAAGTGGGAAACACAAGAGAAGAAAAGGACCTACAAAAACAAACCCATAACAATTAAGAAAATGGTGATAGGAACATACATATCGATAACTTCCTTAAATGTGAATGGATTCAATGCTCCAACCAAAAGACACAGGCTCGCTGAATGGATACAAAACAAGACCCATCTATATGCTGTCTACAAGAGACCTACTTCAGACCTAGGGACACAAACAGACTGAAAGTGAGGGGATGGAAAAAGATATTCCATGCAAATGGAAATCAAAAGAAAGCTGGAGTAGCAATACTCATATCAGATAAAATAGCCTTTAAAATAAAGAATGTTACAAGAGACAAGGAAGGACGCTACATAATGATCAAGGGATCAATCCAAGAAGAAGATATAACAGTTATATATGCACCCACCATAGGAGCATCTTAATACATAAGGCAAATGCTGACAGCCATAAAAGAGGAAATCGACAGTAACACAATAATAGTGGGGGACTTTGACACCTCATTTACACCAATGGACAGATCATCCAAACAGAAAATTAATAAGGAAACACAAGCTTTAAATAACACAATAGACCAGATAGATTTAATTGATATTTATAGGACATTCCATCCAAAAACAGCGGATTACACTTTCTTCTCAAGTGTGCACAGGACATTCTCCAGGATAGATCACATCTCGGGTCACAAATCAAGCCTTAGTAAATTTAAGAAAATTGAAATCATATCAAGCATCTTTTCTGGCCACAACACTATGAGATTAGAAATCAATTACAGGGAAAAAAACGTAAAAAGCACAAACACATGGAGGCTAAACAATACGTTACTAAATAACCAAGAGATCACTGAAGAAATCAAAGAGGAAATCAAAAAATACCTACAGACAAATTACAATGAAAACATGATGATCCAAAACCTATGGGATACAGCAAAAGCAGTTCTAAGAGGGAAGTTTATAGCAATACAAGCCTACCTCAAAAAACAAGAAAAATCTCAAACAATCTAAAGACAAAAAAAAGCCAAATCTTGAAAATTTTAATTCCTTTTTACCCTTGGGTGTTTCCAAAATTGGAAGATTATCCTAGGAAGAGGAAGACTTAAAGTAAGCTGGTGATCCATCCCAGGAAACATACCTGGAGAATCATCCAGGACAAAGGTAAGGGGAGACCCAGAGTGGCGCTGTGGGACTGGCCTGGAGAACCACCAGTCCAGGCAACTGCAGGAGTGTGGAGGGCTCTTCCAGGAAGTCGGGTGGGAGCTGTCTCCAGAAAAAGATGCCACTGGTACAGGACCAAATGAATTTTATCGTACTGAGAGACTGCTACTTTTGAAGGAAAGTTAGTGATGAGTTAGTAATAAGTACATAAAAAGTTAAATGAAGAAAAGTGACAATTGTTTTTAACTCCAGGGAAAACACAAAGTTGTCTAAGAAAGAAGGTATTACTATATATAATGCACTTTATGGTCTAATAATCACATGGCTATAGGGTGTAAGCACTGAATATTGATGTAACCAAAATTATAATATGGCTCTATTTGGAGAATGGAGGAGGGGAAGTGGGTGGGGAGATTTAAGAGACCAAAACCTCTTTCCACTTGGAAAACCAATAGATAAGATCTAAAATTTAAACAGAACCTAGATATAGCCATGTAAGTGTCGTGTTTGAATATACAGAGATAAATATCAGAGTGAGTAGCTAAAAGCGGTTGTGTCTAGAGAGTGGGAATCAGGGTGTAGAAGATGGAGCAGGAGAATGCTCATTTTTGTTAAAAAGCTTGTAGAACCACTGGACTTTCAAAACCATGGGTACACATAACTTTAAATTCTTTTTAACGAAGTCAGCAGCAAGTGGTTGCAGAATCACTATCTGGACCCAATTCTGTCTGAAGCCAATCCCAATTTTTCATCTCAAGATAAATTCTTTGTACTTATGTGCCTCTGGACTTTGATTTTCTTTAGAGTTTGTTTGTACAATTGATCCAATAATCTACAAAATCCAGGAGCATATGGGTTGGGGTAATCCCACGGGGATTACTGTAAGTGACAAGGAGAACTTGTTTTGGGGTAGGAGGGATGTCTCGCAGAGCCAGAGGGCAGGGAACTTGAAGCAGGGACTGGGGCACCACAGGGAACCCTGAAAGTTCTTTCTCTCCTTTGCTTCTATATGCTCCCCTGCCTGTGTCTGCTTTGTTTATCTGATTCCCAGTTCACAGGCGAGGAAAGAGCCACTCAGTCTGCACCTGAGGGGAGAGCTTGGGAGGGGATGAGATAAACCCAATTTGAATGCCAAGTTCTGGAAAGTCAGAAGGGAGGCCCCAGTGGGAAATACATGCTCTTTTAGGAGCTTGAAAGGGGTCATCTAATGAATGGCGTTTAGGGCCCTGGACCCTGTCTGCCCCAAGTGGCCTGCTGGCCCTGGGATGTCCCTGCAGATCCCAGGCATCAGCAGGCAGCCATGCCCTGCATGGGTGGCTGGACTGGGGGAGCTGTAGGGATGTCTGCAGAGAAGTCATTTACTTGTGTTGGAACAAACACAGGGCTTAAGCAGCAGAAATGGCACTGACTTGGGGTTTGAGGAAGGCGTCCCAATTCAAGCTCCTTCTTTTATTAGCTGTATAGCCACTAGCCCCATGGGGCTATTGAGAGCTTGAAGTGTAGCTAGTCTGAGAGCTTGAAATATGCTGAGTGTAAAATGCACACTGGATTTTGAAGATTTAGTATCCCCATAATACAAAATATCTCATTACTATTTTATTCTTATTAATGGTAATGTTAATGTTGAAATGGGTAATATTTGGGGTATATTGGCTTCAATAAAATATATTATTAAAATTCTACCTTTTAGTTTTTAAAAATGCGACTCTTAGAAAAATTAAAAATTACTAAGATGGCTCACGTTATATTTCTATTGGACATCACCAATCTAGACTCTAGACCTAACACATTGCCTTTATTGAAAAGAACAAAACCACTCAGGCTTGGCATCACTCTAGAAAGTTGGGGAGAGGTGTTTGTGCAATCTTCCATTTAGTGTTAAACAGCACCTTGTTTTTCAGGGTCCCAAACTCTGGTAAAATCCACAGCTGTCCCCTCTCTACTCTGCCTGTGACAAACCAGCCCTAACCACAGGAGACAAGGTGAGGACAGTGTTCCTGACAGAAGACTCATGTACCCTTAGGGGCCTGCAGAAGTTCTCAGGGGACCTGAAGGCCATTCCACTACTCCGGAAAGCCTGACGGAAGGAAATTCTACAGCTTCCCAAGTACTGATGCCTTGGCCAATGAGATCAGTGTTTCTTGGCTCGAGGCTTCTAGCAACCCAGCCAGGCAAGGTTGGTGGTCTCAACTATCAGAAGCTCCACCTGGCAATTAATTGTAAGTCTCTCTGACTTATGAAAATACTGAAAAGTTAATTATTCATTAAGATGTAATGGGATAGACGAAGTTTTTCCAAATGTGCTATTCTTAGAGAATGATACGGAAAGATGCCCCTGGTGATGGAAAGTTTAGGAAGCTCTGACAGAAGTCATTGTGTCCTCCAGGGTCCTGGTTCTTGCATGTTTTGTTTCCACATTTGGTTGGTAAGTGATGGAATTTCCCTTAACTTTCCTCCAGGGATATGTCCTTGGCACGTACATCCCTCTGAAATTCATAGAATTTTGAGATTTGGACGACTTCAGTTATTTCTCCATCTGGGATGATGAGCAACCTATCATCACTGTCAAAGCCCCACGACCAACCCCCATGATCAGCCCTCCTTACACTGCACCTTGGAATGTACCAAACTTTAAATTATCTCATCACCAAGAACTAAGAGTGGTGACCACAAATTCCACAAATTCCTGCAGCTCTGCACGCCACTGGCATACCCACAGGACCAGTTCTCCATGCTCCTTGGGACCACAGGCACCTGGGCCCACCTAGTGCGCTACCATCCCACTCTCCTCGACCTCCACCCTTGGGGAAGGCGGCATTGATCAGGAATTAAGTGCCTATGCTCAGGGGCAGGCTGCCCGGGCTCTGTCTCCACACCTTCCTTACAGCTTGTGAAACTAGGGGTAAGTTATTTCGTCTTTCCGGAACTCATTTCCTTATCTGTAAGCTAGGGTTTATGAGAGCACCTACCTCACTGGGAGGGATGTGATATTTAATTATGTATGTGCATCTAAGTGCATGTACATGTGATGAGATAATGTGGGTAAAGCTCTCTGTAGTGCTTGGTTCATTGTTGCTCTCAGCAACTGTTAGCTCTGCTTAGTTGTTATCGGCTCTGTCTTTTCACCTGCTTTCTCCCCCGGCCACCTGGGCTGCTCAGAGAAAGCTTGAGAATCAGACTGCTTGTCTCTGCTACAGAGTCACCATGCTCCCCCACTGGGCCTCCCCATGGCCTGGCCATCAGTGTGTGTGTGTGTGTGTAAAAGTTTTACCCACAAATATGTGTGTCAGTGTGTCCCTTTTGGTAACAGCTTTATTGAGATATGACTTGCATACCATATAATTTACCCCTTTGAAGTGTGCAATTCAATGATTTTTAGTATTGCTGCACACAAGCTTTCTCTACTTGCGGCAAGCGGGGGCTACTCTTCATTGCGGTGCACGGGCTTCTCACTGCAGTGGCGTCTCTTGCTGCGGAGCACGGGCTCTAGGTGCGCGGGCTTCAGTAGTTGTGGCTCGCGGGCTCTAGAGCGCAGGCTCAGTAGTTGCGGCGCACGGGCTTAGCTGCTCCACGGCATGTGGGATCTTCCCGGACCAGGGCTCGAACCCGTGTCCCCTGCGTTGGCAGGTGGATTCTTAACCAGTGTGCCACAAGGGAAGTCCCCACCTGACTTTTATAACTGGAAGGTTTGTACCTTTTGACTCCCTTCACCCCCCCTTCAACCTTTCCTCTGGCAACCACCCATCTGTTCTCTGTATCTATGAGCTTGGTTTTTGTTTTATTAGATTTCACATATGAGCAAGATAATTTGTCCTTCTCTAACTTATTTCACTTAACATAATGCCCTCAAGGTCCATCCATGTTTTGCAAATGGCAAGATTTTATTCTTGTGGTTGAATAATATTCCGTTGTGTGTGTGTGTGTGTGTGTGCATATGTATATGTGTGTGTGTGTATATATATATATACACACACACACACACATATATATATTTATGTCACATCTTCTTTATTCATCGGATGATAGACACTTAGGTTGTTTCCATGTCTTGGCTGTTGTAAATAATAATGCTATGAACATGGGGGTGCATTTATCTTTTCTTTCTTTTTTTTTTAAATTAATTTATTTAATTAATTTATCTTTTCAAGTTAATGTTTTCATTTTCTTTGGATAAATACCCAGAAGTGGTATTGCTGGATCATATGGTAGTTCTTTTTAATTTCTCTTGAGGAACCTCCATACTGTTTTCCATAGTGGACACACCTTTTTTTTCTCTTTAGATCTGAACATTTCATGTAAACGGGACCATACAATATGTGGTCCTTTGAGAAGAGGTTTTTTAAATCAGCATAATATTTCCAAGATTCATCCATGTTGTAGCATCTATTAGCACTTCATTTCTTTTTATGGCCAAACAGTATTCCATTGCATGACTATACCACATTTGGTTTATTCATTTATCAGTTGGTGGCCGTTTGAGTTGTTTCACTTTTTGGCTACTGTGAATAATGATGCTGCGAGCGTTTGTGCATACATCTGTGAATGGCTACAGTTTTCATTTCCCTTGCGTATATACCTAGGAGTGGAATTGCTTGGTCTTATGTTAGGTCTCCGTTTAACTTTCTGAGGAGCTGCCAAACTGTTTTCTGAAGTGGTTGCACCATTTTACATTCCTATCAGCAGTGTAGGAGTGTCCCAATTTCTCCATATCCTTGCCAACACTTGTTATTATCTGTCTGTTTGATTATAGCCGTCCTAGTATATGTGAAATGGTATCTTATTATGGTTTTTATTTGCATTTCCTTGATGGCTAATGATGTTAAGTAGCCTGGCGATCATTTTAACCAATGTTTGCTTATTATCTCTTAGATTGTCATTGTGGATGTTCCAATCACTTCCCAGACTTCACAAGGTCCTAATTCCTCTCATCTCTAGAGATTCCATCTCTTCTGCTATTCTTGAACATCTTCATGCACTGATTCATTCTCCAACAAATAGTTACAGTAAGTCCCCTACCTACTAATGAGTTCCATTTCGAGAGTGCGTTCGGAAGTCCACTTTGTTCTTAAGTCCAACAAAGTTAGCCTAGGTACCCAACTAACACAATCCGCTATATAGTACTGTACTGTAATAGGTTTATAATACTTTTCACACACATAATACATAAAAAACAAACAAAAATAAGACATTTTTAGTCTTATAGTACAATATCACTCACTCCTGACATTGATGGCACAGGTTCTGGTTCCTTGCTGGATTCAATTCTGTCTACCCTCTTGCTTCTGGACATCCTGGGCTTGAGATAAAGATACTGTATTACTGTACTCTATACAGTACTGTAAAGTACACAAAAGCACAACCTCTTGTAGAGGATGCATGCACGTGACAGTGTACTCCAGGCCCGTGAACTAACTTACGTGATTGGACATGTGAACGCGTGTTCACGTCTTTGAAAGTTCGCAACTTGAAGGTTCATATGTAGGGGACTGACTGTATTGAGCTTCTTTTATGTGGCACATACTGATGGCTGGGGATGTGCAACTGAGGGGCCACTTACAGTCTGATGGCAACATGTCATCATGTAACTCCTCTGCTTAAAATGCTTCAGTGACATTTAAGAATTTGGGGTAAAATTTAATAGCAAAATTCATGGCAACCAGGGTTCTGTGTATATATGAGTGTTAGGCCAGCCCAGCTACCCTCCCCACCATTCTCCCTGCCTCACATCTTCTGCTACTGTCTTAGGCTCCAAATGAATAATACTTTCATGCAGCCTGGTCCCTGTTCTCCACTGCCCCTTCTAGACTGTAAGCTTCTGCAGGAGGGGATGATTCTAACGCATCCTTGCATTTCCCACAGCACTAGGACAATACTTGGCACCTTGAAAGTACTCAATACAATACCATACGATGTACTTGATACATTTATCATTGAATTATTAAATGAATAGACGGCTAAATAAGCGAATGAATGAAAATATGTGGTTCTGCTAGGTAGTACAATTTACTTTAGTTTTTAGTTGGCTGAAGTTGGGCTCTATTCTTCTTTTTTTCTTTTCTTTTTTTTTTTTTTTCTTTTTTCAGTACGTGGGCCTCTCACTGTTGTGGCCTCTCCCGTTGAGGAGCGCAGGCTCCGGACGCGCAGGCTCAGCGGCCATGGCTCATGGGCCCAGCCGCTCCACGGCGTGTGGGATCTTCCCAGACCGGGGCACGAACCCGTGTCCCCTTCATCGGCAGGCAGACCCTCAACCACTGCACCACCAGGGAAGCCCTGCACTCTATTCTAATCCTCATTTTAAACTAGCCTGAATGATATGCCAGGCCTGCCGAACTGAGGGCAGCTTTATTTTAGTCAAATATTTATAACAAATAGTGATGCTCTAAGGGGTTTTAAGTCATGGCGTGTTCAGATTTGTTTGTACCCTGTAGGGTTTTAAGAAAAATGAAATAAAATGACATAACACAAAATAAAATACCCACATTGCGAACATAAACAAGTTGAACAGAGTCACGTTTGGGGGCCTGTGTGGAAATTTGCAAGGAAAGCTGGAGAGTTAAAAGTGTCCAGGCACGGTGCACCTTCCCTTTCACCGTCATACAGGCAGGACAAAGGTCTCTCTTCTCTTAGGACAGGAACATGTTTCTTTCTTGGATGGTTTTGTGGAGGGAGAGGATGGAGGGGGAGGAAGTGGGCTTCTCCTGGGGTTCCAGCTGGGTCTAGCCCTGTGGGAGACAGGATGCGGGCCAGTCAGGCCCTCCAGCCCCCTCTGTCAGGCTGTTTCCTATTTTCAGAGGTCTATAGGGTGGCCCTTGTGAGGCAACAGTAATGAACACATTGTCCTGAAATGTAAACTGGGGAGGGAGGAAATGCCTGGCATTGGTGATATGTCTGTCTGCTTATTTGCCGAGAATGTTGTTTGGGGGAGATAACGTATACCGTGGAGACAGTGTTTTCAGAGATGTTTGTGAAGATGACGTCCTGATGAAGGACTAAGACAATGATGACATCTGAAGCAGGACGCAGGTCTCACAGCCCTCCTGAGCTTGCCCTGGGTCCTCCCTGCAGCTCCTTCCTCCATTTTCAGGGTCCTCGTAGTGGCCCGTGCTCTGACCACCACACCCCGCAGCTTCTGGCCTCGTTTCCCCCGCACGCCTCCCCCAGCCCTCTCATGCTCACAGCTGCCTGCAGCTCCTCCTCTCCATTCCCTTCCTAAAACTGAATAATGAGACCTTTGCTAATAGGCAGTAGAAAAGGCTCCCGGAGACGGCCGTCTCTGCTCCTCTCCTTTATTAAGTACTTTCCATGTGCCAGTTGTTTTACTTATATCATTCATTTAATCCTAACCACCTAAAAGGCAGTGATAATGGCCATCTCTCCCAGTTTACAGGTTGGGAAACTGAGGCTCAGGGAAGGAAATTGATTACCCTCACAATGGGTAGCCCTGGGATTTGAACTCATAGTCTGATGCAGAGACCTCACTCTTAGTCAATATATTCTGTTTCCTTCCAGCTGCCTGCCAGGCATCACGTGACTGTCTGGTGCAACAGAGGTGCATAAGGCAGCCCTAGCCTTGAGGAACAGGGCTGCAAAGAATGATGAATCACTGGGAGAAGCGCTGCAGCAGCAGTGATGGAGGGGCGAAGCTGGGGAGACAAGGAAGGGGCGAGAGGAGCATGAGCAAAGGCACTGTCGGGGATGCTGCAGGCTGCTGAGCACCACCCTCTCACTCCCCCAGCTGCCGGGAGCAATGGATGCTGATGGCTCAGTGGACTTGCCCTTGGCTGGAGCGAGCTGCCTTGCCCAATGTTAGGCTCCCTCCCCAGGGGAAGCCTGAATCCAGGGATTGGTCATTAGGTGACTACAAAGGGCCGGCCCCCTTGCCTCAGTTGAGCACGACACTGAAGGGCCAACCCAGCTGCAGAGGATCAGCCCCACAGGCTCAGCCGAGGCCTCTCAGGTCAGCCCCTTCCTCTACCATTCCTGGTCCCATCACTCCAGGAGAGGTATGTACCCCCAAAACCCTTCTGCACAGAAGCCTACCTCAGAGCGTGTGTCCCAGGGAGCCCAAGACATGTGGAGGCGTGGAAGTGTAAAGGTACCTACCGTGTTCCAGAAAGCATGGAAAGCCATGTTCTAAGGCTGCTGGGCTATAGGATGTGGAGAGTGTAGGACTCCTGTGCAGGCGTCTCCTCCTGCATTGTGATCTGAACATCCAGTGATGGACATGTATCTACTTTTTTTTCAGGAATCTAGCCTGCAACTCTGCCCAGTGCCACAGAGGCCTGACCCATTATAAGATTAAACTGCTTACAACTTTGGGGAAAGGGCAGTTTAGAACCCCAATACGTAACAACAAAGAAGTGTTTGGGATCATTTTATTGATGCTTTTGGAACGTCAAAGCTAAAAAGCAGCCTTAGAGCACATCCAGTCCAAGAACCCTCCGTTATCACGTGGAAATGAAGCCCCAGAGAGGTGACGTGACTTCAGGTGAACGCACATAGGGTCAGGGCCACCAGCGGAACCCAGGTCTCCTGGCCTCCAGTCCATTGGTCTCTCCACCTCTCCTTGGGTAGGTCTATACCTCATTCCTAATAAGAACTTAAACATGAGCCCTTGAAGACTCACTCAAGGGCTCTACTAACAGTGACTTGTCCATGGGAGGGCAAACTGCGCTCGAAGAAGACGGCCACCCAGCTTCCCCCAAGGGCCCCAGCAGTCCTCCACAAGGCTCCCCACAGTGAGGCTGCGTTGCCGGTGCCAGGCCTGTCAAGGCTCGGTGTTGTTCCAGACCCTTCTGTACTTCCCTACTCCCTATCAGGTCAAATCCAGCTGCTTTTCTCCAACCATGGTCAAGGTAAACGTGGAAGCCGTAGAGCACCATCGGGGGCGCTCTACCTATCATGCACCTGCTCAGTGTTTAGTGCCGGCTTCTCTTCACCTCTTCACTCCTGGCGTTAGATGGGTCCCTCCCTTCTCTGGGGAAAGGGTTATTGGATAAGCTCACTTCCAGCTGGGGCACTTGTTACAGCGTTAACAGTCCTAAGCCTCAGTACATTAACCTCTGATAAATGGATGACTCCAGACCCAGCACCGTATTGGAGACAGCAGGGCTCAGCTTTCACTGTCCTGTCTTGAACGGTGACTTTGCCCTCCGACCTGCCTCTCGGGACTGGACAATTATTTACCCATGTAATCGGGCTCTGTGTGAACTTCTCTTGCCAGATAAGGCAGCTTTCTGAAAAAGTTGCCTTAGATAGAGCAGGGTCTCTCCAGCTGAGTTGTGTGTTTTGCTAGTGTCCTGTGGGCTGCTTGTACTAGTTATGCCATGGGCAGGGAGCGTCCTGTGGTCAGTTAAGCTGGAGAAGCACTGCACAGTTAGTTATCTTTGGAAGATGCTCCAGCTACTTGAGGGCAATAAGTCCTATCTTAAATCTGCCTACTTTCATTTAACCTGTATCTGCCTGGTTTCACTTGTCTGCAGAAACTTTAAAAAATGGAATACCTTTTAATCTCCTGGAGGGGACTCAGTCTCACCTCTTTCTGAGCTCAGTTTCTCTCATCCGTCCTGTGTTTTACAACTGGGCTTTCCTGTCTGGGTCACTCTTCTGGCGTCACTGTTGTGTATCTCCGCAGTGTCCCTTCTGCACACTGGGGTGTGGCAGTGCTCCCTGTTTCTGGTCCTGGTTTGCCTGGGACTAATGGGGTTTCCTGAGGCATGGGACTTCCAGTACTAAAGCCAAGAAAATCCCAGGCAAACTGGGACATGTTGGTCATCTGTACTGAGCCCTGCTTCTTGCCTGTAGCCCCGCAGCTCTCTGGCAGCCACCCTGGTGCTTCCCAGGCCTCTTCTGGGATTCCCTGTTGCTGGGCTCAGTCTGCCTGGGGCTGCGACCACAAGTTGCTTACGCGCCTAGCCTCTCCTCTTTCAGCTAAACCCAGTGTCCTCATAGTGCCTACAGCCGGGGTAAGTTCCCTTGCTGCCCCTGTAGCAAACCCTGTCTGACCCCGTCTTATCCACCCTGAATGGACTTGAAAACCCACAGCACCATGATACCCACTCCCCAGGCTCCTGGCTCTGACCGGCACAGGGGTAGCTGAGTGGCTCTCAGGAAGGGTCATGGTGATGTGACCCAGCTGAGAGAGCTGATGGTAGGGGCTGCCCTGACATTCTGTGTGGAAGGCAGAGAACCAGTGTGTCCGGGGGAGAGATGCTGCTGCCTCCCAGGCCCTCCGCTCCCCTCCGCTCCCCTCTGCTCCTCTGCCAGTTGCAGGGTTTCAGGGGGGTGGGGGTGGTGGCATTGGGTTCGTCTCTCGGCCACAGATGCCTGCCCTGATGAGTGATTAGTCTCTGCCATGAGGGGCTCACTCACACTGGAGGAGAGTGACATGGGGACTAGTGAGTGCAAGCCAGTGTTAAGGTGTGCCACAGCATAACTGATGGAGTGATTAACTTTTCCCTTGTTTTTACTCCTGTAACTGTTTTTCCATGTCCCCCGGTCTTTCCCCAAGCCTTTCTGTTGCCCTGCTGCAAGGCCTTTTGTGTAGGTCCAAATCAGGATTGCTTTTGTTCCTTAAAGCCCTGATGTACTGGGAGATTGGTGACATTTGCTCTTGCAGGGGAGGGGGAGGAGATGACTTGCAGGGGGCAGGCTGAAGTGTAACCACATCAGGGGAGGTTTGGACCCAGAAGTAGATGTTCTTCCAGGTCTGTGAGCAATGGATCCCAACAGCACCCCTCTCCAGAGGGGCTGGGATCTGGAATGGACTGATCTGAACATGCTGCAGCCCTGGGGACCATGGCAAAAAAACCACTCGCTCACTGTGGAATGATCTACTGAATGTGTGCTCTGTGCCAGGCACTGTTGTAGACACTGGGATTAGAGGAATGAACAGAACAGATGAAAACCCCTGCCCTCATAGACCTTGGATCTTAGTTAGGGGAGATAGACACAAACCGAGTGCTCAAGACTTGGGCTTTTATCTGAAGAGCTGTGAAGCCATTGGAAGGGTTTACACAGAGGAGTGTGGGTTTACAAGGACCACAGTGGCCTCCGTGTTGTGGATGGACTGACTAGAGGGGGAGGAGGCGAAAGACCAGTTAGGAAGCTCTTTCAAGGATCCAGAGGAGAGGCAATGGTGGCTTAAGTGTTGCTGATGAAAAGGGTTTAGGCTTTGGAGATGCTTTGAAGGTAAAGCCAGATAGATAAAATGTAAGCTATGAGATTAAAAGGAGAGATCATAGATGACTCCAGGGATTTGGGCCTGAGCACCTAGAAGAGCAGAGTCCTCATTAACTGAACTGGGGAGGGCTGTGGCTGGAATGGGGTTTTTTGGGGGAGGGATTTTGCACAGAAATAGAGTCCCTGTGCCCCCCTCCCACCCCATTCCAGGCAGGGCCACACCAGCCCATCTGGCTGTGTGTGGATTAGAAATGGCATCCCTTCCTCTGGCAGACACAGCTCAGTGCTGGGGGCACAGCTTGTCAAGGGGACAGTCCCTCTTATAGCCTGAAGTCCTGTTGCTATGAACAACCTTCACAGTCACATACAGAGGCCCTGCCTGGAGTGACTAGTGGTGTATCAGAAAGACCCCCACCGGCAGGACGGGGACAGATGGAGACCTGGGGCAGTGTAAACTGAATTTAGAGAAGTGACTGTTCCTATCCCTGTGTCATGTTTTATAGTAAATTGTATACTTGCCTCAGCGGCTGCAGTGAGAGGAGGCCTGTTTGCATGAGTTCATTAGAGGTCTAAAGGCAGAAAATCATGTTAAGGAGTACTGTTGGTCTTCTTAGGATTAAAAAATAATGAATGCTGTTTTGTTGTAAAGTTATATGGTCCTATTTTGTTACATGCTAAGAGCAGATAAGTTCTCTTTATTAATCTCTCTTAATAGAGCAAACCAAATATAGGGAAAGAATCGCTTTTATTGTTTTCCAAATGTCTTACGTTAGCAGTGGTATGGAACCCTCAACACACTAGCTTTGAAGAAGTTGTTCCAAATCTAAAGGAGTGTTCCGTCCTCTATACACCCAGCATTACCCCACACATGACCGGGCGATCCATAGTTTTCTTTAGAAGGGACTTCACGACATACTATAGTCATACCGTTTATATGTTATACTCTCATTCAAGCCTCATAATGACTCTAAGAGGTGGTACTATTATCTCCCATTTCACAGGAGAGGAGGTTAAGCCTTGGAGAGTGGAGATGACGTACCGAGGACCCGTCAGCTAATATGTGGCAGAGCCTGAATAGACACTCTTGTTAGTTTGGCTCCAGAGTCCCGCTATGTTAAACACTGTTCCTCAGACTGACTTCCCTGATGCAAAACCTAGAATTCCACAGTCCCAGGGCCACACGTTTCTAGAATTTGAAGGGACTAATTGCATCTACCCTATGCCCCCTTCCTTACCTGATGGCTGAGTTCTCTCTAATCATCCTTGATGAGATGTCTTCGCCCTGGTCCTTGCACAAATGCTGGCTGATGGCATAAGAAAAAGTTTGGGAAGCTTATTAGAATGTGAATTTCTGGGCATCGTCCCAGATCCACTAAATCAGAGTGTCAGGGCCCAGAAGTATATTGTTACCATGACCCCAGGTGGCTCTAGCATGCAGCCGGGCTTGGGGAGCCTGCTAGAGCCACACTCTAGTGATGGGGAAAGCCCTGCCTGCCTCACAAGTTGGTCCTGCCCATCATTTCCACCCTTAGCAATTTCTTTCCTTGATCCCCTCTCCTTGGCTAGCTCTGGCTATTAAAGTATTTCTTAGATTGCATTGAACTCCATCTCCCTGTAGCTCTTACTGGGCCCCATTCTACATTCTGGGTTACACAGAACAAGTTTAACCACTCTGCCACAGTGCCAGCCTTTCAAGAATTGAAGTCACCAAACAACCCTCCCCCCTAACCCCGACCGTAGTCTTTTCTTCTCTAAGGACAATAGTCCCAGTTCTGCCACCTGAATCTCATTATTTAGTGTCAAGTTCTTATATCATCTGTGTTGTGTTCTTCTGAAATCATCTGGATGGTCCTTGTTCCTTTAAACCGTGGCTCCAGAACTGAAGGCCACTTCCCAGGCATGGTCCAGCACCTCCCAGTGAGGACTTTTGCCTTTCTGGTTCCAGACCCTGCCTTCCTCTGAAGTCATCTTGAAATTAGAGGACACATGCTGGGTCATAGAGAGGTGGGCTTCTGTGGAGCTACTGGCCCAGCTGAGTTCCACGGATAGCCTTAGTACTATCCGTGGATACTAAGCCTGGTCCCGTGTCCTCTGTTGGTGTTGCTGTTGATTTTGGTTGCAAGGTAAGGACCGTAGATGTATTCTTGCTGCATTCCATCTTGTCAGGTTCTGCTCCTTGCTCCAGCCTCTTGAATTTGGGGATCCTGCCTCTTGCGTCAGTAGTTGGAGTGTTCCTTCCTCTGACCCTTTCAGACTCTCTGTACTCACAGTGTTTTGTACCAGACTCTCTGGGCCATACAGTGGTTTAAGGTTATTGCTGTTCCAGAGATCTTTGCTCTGAGCAGTGATGTTACCGTATTCCCTTGGTATCTGTATATGTATCCATATT